CACCCCCCCCAAAAAAATGGCCGCGCACGGCGCTAGAGTGTTCGGGTTTCACTTGAACAGAAGGTGGCAACCCTAGGGATACATCGAGGAGCCGATTGAACTTTAGACGGCTCAGCTTGTGCCCCCCACCCTGCCCCCACAAGGTCAGGACTACTTTCTCGGAGGGGCGCGCTGCTGGCGGACTCGCCGACTGATGTCAGGACGCAGGAAACATCCTGTTTTTCAGCTATTTCTGTGTTTGTGTACTTTGTTTTTTGTTTCGGAGGACGCACAGAGATAAAGAGCCGGAGGAAACATCGGAACGCACGCAGCCGTGACCGCAGGAGGACATTCCCCTCAAGGCCTGATAACGCTCGCTGCATGAGCCCAACCGTCTCTCTGCTATGACAGACTTCTGTGCGGGGTACATAGGCTGCGGCCTAGTGTGGCAGACCCGACATTTGGGGGGGGGGCTTTGCCCTTTTACCGCCATTTTTCGCGCACATGATAAAATGCACATTTTATGCCTAAAGTTTGCTTAAAACTCCCCCAAACATTATGTACAAAAGGTTCCTTTGAATCACGGTCCAGGACCAGTACCCGGATCAGGAAAGTCAGCAGTCCTGATCTGCATGCTTGTTGTTTGGCCGCAACTGAAGCCACAGAGTCAGGGTGACAGCCAGGCAACCAGCAATTTCAGGAAAAGTCAGCAATGGCTGATTGGCTGGGACTTGTAGCTTCCCAGCAGAAGTCCTAGCTGGGACCTGTGGTGCCTCATTGGACTGACTGGGACATGTGGTGCCTCATTAAGACTGGCTGGGACTTGTGGTGCTCATTAAGACTGGCTGGGACTTGTAGTGCCTCATTAAGACTTGCTAGGACTTGTGGTTTTCATTCGGCCTGGCTGGGACTTGTAGTGCCTCATTAAGACTGGCTGGGACTTGTAGTGCCTCATTAAGACTTGCTAGGACTTGTGGTTTTCATTCGGCCTGGCTGGGACTTGTAGTGCCTCATTAAGACTGGCTGGGACTTGTGGTGCATCATTAGGACTGGCTAGGACTTGTGGTGCTCATTCGGCCTGGCTGGGACTTGTAGTGCCTCACAATGACTTGCTGGGACGTGTGGTTCTCACTAGGACTTGTGGTGCCTCACTAGGACTGGCTGGGACTTGTTGTGCTTCATTAGGCCTGACTGGGACTTGCAGTGCCAAAAAATGGCTGGCTGACAGTTGTAGTCCTCCAGAACGTCCCCACTCAGCCTCCGCCGCCTGCACCGGGGCCTCCGGAGATACGTGTGTGGCCTGGAGGGTGCCGCCGTAGGCCTCTGCCGGCGGCTGGGGGTGGAGGGGGTCCGCTCCGGGGAGACCGGGATCTGGGTGGGCGAGAGAAAGATCTGCGCCATAGGTGAGCACAGGGGAGGTCTGAACACTGCCTGAACGCTGTGTGCTATGTGAGGGGGACTACGACTCCCACCATAACCTGTACATATACTGTGTGTTATGTGAGGGGGACTACGACTCCCACTATGACCTTTATATACTGTATATTGCTTCCCCGGTGACATATATATACCCCACTATGACCTGTATATACTGTATATTGCTTCCCCGGTGACATATATATACCCCACTATGACCTGTATATACTGTATATTGCTTCCCCGGTGACATATATATACCCCACTATGACCTGTATATACTGTATATTGCTTCCCCGGTGACATATATATACCCCACTATGACCTGTATATACTGTATATTGCTTCCCCGGTGACATATATATACCCCACTATGACCTGTATATACTGTATATTGCTTCCCCGGTGACATATATATACCCCACTATGACCTGTATATACTGTATATTGCTTCCCCGGTGACATATATATACCCCACTATGACCTGTATATACTGTATATTGCTTCCCCGGTGACATATATATACCCCACTATGACCTGTATATACTGTATATTGCTTCCCCGGTGACATATATATACCCCACTATGACCTGTATATACTGTATATTGCTTCCCCGGTGACATATATATACCCCACTATGACCTGTATATACTGTATATTGCTTCCCCGGTGACATATATATACCCCACTATGACCTGTATATACTGTATATTGCTTCCCCGGTGACATATATATACCCCACTATGACCTGTATATACTGTATATTGCTTCCCCGGTGACATATATATACCCCACTATGACCTGTATATACTGTATATTGCTTCCCCGGTGACATATATATACCCCACTATGACCTGTATATACTGTATATTGCTTCCCCGGTGACATATATATACCCCACTATGACCTGTATATACTGTATATTGCTTCCCCGGTGACATATATATACCCCACTATGACCTGTATATACTGTATATTGCTTCCCCGGTGACATATATATACCCCACTATGACCTGTATATACTGTATATTGCTTCCCCGGTGACATATATACCCCACTATGACCTGTATATACTGTATATTGCTTCCCCAGTGACCTATATACACCACTATGACCTGTATATACTGTATATTGCCCCACCGGTGACATATATACCTCACTAATCGCTGCAAAGTGAAGGGAAGTCTCCTCTTATAGACAGGTGTCCCCATCAGAGAATTTCCTCCCTATTCCAGCTCCGGTGACAACGGTTACATTATAGATTTCCCATCACCCTTTGTGCTGGTTACAGTGGTCACCGGGACACATGGAGAGGATGAATCTCCCCGGCAGAGACATAGACCGCTATAAAAACCTGCCGGGGGCTCTAACCCCCCACACTCCGTCCTGTGTCCCCTCGTTGGCGTCCATTGTAAGTCATGTTGGCCGATCTCATCCCGTCTCCGCTCTCTTTCAGGCGTCCATTGCTCCCACCACGTTACCTCTCACGGGTTGGCCCTGAACTGCAACACCGACCTGAGCTGGTTTGACCACATCGTGCCGTGCGGGATCGAGGGGAAGGGGGTCACCTCTCTGAGCGCGGAGCTGGGAAGAGCGGTCACCGTGGAAGAGGTCGTCCCGCCGTTCTTAGAGGCCTTCCAGGAGGAGTTTCATTGCAATTTAGACTTCAGAGATGGAGAAGAGGAGGAGGAGGCGGGGCTACCGGATCATCATCATCGCTCCCCGAAATGAATAGAAACGTTGCGTTTATTGTGTGTTAGGGGGCAGGTTCACAGACCAGATCTGCTGCGGAAAATGGTGCGAACCTGCCGCAGTTCCAGCGCATTCCGGACCAGACGAAATAGGACATGCAGTATTCTTCTGACCTGGTCCGGAACAGACGGCGCTGGTGTGAACAGAGGCCAGAAATAGCATAGGGATAGATGAGGATGCGCTCTGGGTCCGGAAGCAATCTGGTCTGGAGATGATATATTTGCCATGGAATCTATAGACAAAAATACATAAACAATATGCAGATTGTGTTCCTTTCCGTTTTATCCGATCTTTACATTAGAGGTATTTCAGTATCGAGCACAGAGTGCAGATATTTTCCTTCCGGTACTCGCCGATACCGGAAGTCCCATTAAGGAAGCCAAGCGGCGTGTGCCGCCCCCATGCTTCTCGTCACTAGGTGGCAAGAAAGCATGGAGCCCGGCTTTCCGGCCAATCAGGAAGCCGGGCGCCGCGTCATTACACCGCGCCTGGCTTCCTTATTGGCCAGCTTCCCGACCAATCAGGAAGCCGGGCAGTAAGTCATTACACGCTGCCCAGCTTCCTGACACCGGAAGTATCGGGCTAGGCATCGGAGCATTAGTACCAGTACTCGGCATCGGAGCATTAGTACCAGTACTCGGCATCGGAGCATTAGTACCAGTACTCGGCATCGGAGCATTGGTACCAGTACTCGGCATCGGAGCATTAGTACCAGTACTCGGCATCGGAGCATTGGTACCAGTACTCGGCATTGGTACCAGTACTCGGCATTGGCACCAGTACTCGGCATCGGAGCATTAGTACCAGTACTCGGCATCGGATCATTAGTACCAGTACTCGGCATCGGAGCATTAGTACCAGTACTCGGCATCGGAGCATTAGTACCAGTACTCGGCATCGGAGCATTAGTACCAGTACTCGGCATCGGATCATTAGTACCAGTACTCGGCATCGGATCATTAGTACCAGTACTCGGCATCGGAGCATTAGTACCAGTACTCGGCATCGGAGCATTGGTACCAGTACTCGGCATCGGAGCATTGGTACCAGTACTCGGCATCGGAGCATTAGTACCAGTACTCGGCATCGGATCATTAGTACCAGTACTCGGCATCGGAGCATTGGTACCAGTACTCGGCATCGGAGCATTGGTACCAGTACTCGGCATCGGAGCATTAGTACCAGTACTCGGCATCGGATCATTAGTACCAGTACTCGGCATCGGAGCATTAGTACCAGTACTCGGCATCGGATCATTAGTACCAGTACTCGGCATCGGAGCATTAGTACCAGTACTCGGCATCGGAGCATTAGTACCAGTACTCGGCATCGGAGCATTAGTACCAGTACTCGGCATCGGAGCATTAGTACCAGTACTCGGCATCGGAGCATTGGTACCAGTACTCGGCATCGGAGCATTAGTACCAGTACTCGGCATCGGAGCATTAGTACCAGTACTCGGCATCGGTGCATTGGTACCAGTACTCGGCATCGGAGCATTAGTACCAGTACTCGGCATCGGAGCATTGGTACCAGTACTCGGCATCGGAGCATTAGTACCAGTACTCGGCATCGGATCATTAGTACCAGTACTCGGCATCGGATCATTAGTACCAGTACTCGGCATCGGAGCATTAGTACCAGTACTCGGCATCGGATCATTAGTACCAGTACTCGGCATCGGAGCATTAGTACCAGTACTCGGCATCGGATCATTAGTACCAGTACTCGGCATCGGATCATTAGTACCAGTACTCGGCATCGGAGCATTAGTACCAGTACTCGGCATCGGAGCATTAGTACCAGTACTCGGCATCGGAGCATTAGTACCAGTACTCGGCATCGGATCATTAGTACCAGTACTCGGCATCGGAGCATTAGTACCAGTACTCGGCATCGGAGCATTGGTACCAGTACTCGGCATCGGAGCATTAGTACCAGTACTCGGCATCGGAGCATTAGTACCAGTACTCGGCATCGGTACATTAGTACCAGTACTCGGCATCGGAGCATTGGTACCAGTACTCGGCATCGGAGCATTGGTACCAGTACTCGGCATCGGAGCATTAGTACCAGTACTCGGCATCGGATCATTAGTACCAGTACTCGGCATCGGAGCATTGGTACCAGTACTCGGCATCGGAGCATTAGTACCAGTACTCGGCATCGGATCATTAGTACCAGTACTCGGCATCGGAGCATTAGTACCAGTACTCGGCATCGGATCATTAGTACCAGTACTCGGCATCGGAGCATTAGTACCAGTACTCGGCATCGGAGCATTAGTACCAGTACTCGGCATCGGAGCATTAGTACCAGTACTCGGCATCGGAGCATTAGTACCAGTACTCGGCATCGGAGCATTAGTACCAGTACTCGGCATCGGAGCATTAGTACCAGTACTCGGCATCGGAGCATTAGTACCAGTACTCGGCATCGGAGCATTAGTACCAGTACTCGGCATCGGAGCATTAGTACCAGTACTCGGCATCGGAGCATTAGTACCAGTACTCGGCATCGGAGCATTAGTACCAGTACTCGGCATCGGAGCATTAGTACCAGTACTCGGCATCGGATCATTAGTACCAGTACTCGGCATCGGAGCATTGGTACCAGTACTCGGCATCGGAGCATTGGTACCAGTACTCGGCATCGGAGCATTAGTACCAGTACTCGGCACCGATATCAATACTAGTATCTGTGCGCCCCTAGTTGAAATACGTAGTATCAGTTTCATGTAATAAATAAGAAGAATCCATTTGGTGTGATCGTTAGTCGGGGGAGGGGAACATTGTAACCGTGTTTCTGGTACAAAGCTCGTTACTTGCAGATGGATGAAGGGGAATTTGCTGTTCAGTTTTGCACATTTTCTTGCAGTCACCGGGGAAGCAGCAATACGGTCGCTGTCAGACTCGGGCCGGGCATGCACTGGTACAGGGCCAGGCAGCTTCAGCACTCCAGCTGTGGTATAACTACAAGTCCCAGCATGCCTGGGGTTGTTGGTCCTCCGGTGCTGAGGTTGCTGCCGCTGATCTAGTGGATATTTTTTCGTTCAGCTTTCGGGCTGCACAGTGCGGATGACGGACTCTCCAGCTGTGGCTATTGTATTTCCATATACAGTCTATAATAACCCCCATCATTGGGGTCACTGACTGAAATCATAACCCCTATCATTGGGGGTCACTGACTGAAATCATAACCCCCATCATTGGTGTCAGTGACTGAAATCATAACCCCCATCATTGGTGCCACTGACTTCAATAATAACCCCCAACATTGGTGTCACTGACTGCAATAATAACCCCCAACATTGGTGTCCCTGACTGCAATAATAACTCCCATCATTGGTGTCACTGACTGCAATAATAACTCCCATCATTGGTGTCCCTGACTGCAATAATAACTCCCATCATTGGTGTCCCTGACTGCAATAATAACCCCCATCATTGATGTCACTGACTGCAATAATAACTCCCATCATTGGTGTCACTGACTGCAATAATAACCCCCATCATTGGTGTCAGTCTCTGCAATAATAACCCCCAGCATTGGTGTCACTGACTGCAATAATAACCCCCATCATTGGTCAGTGGCAGAGCCTGCACCGCTCTCTGTAGTCCCGGCAGACAGGAAGTCAGGGTCAGGTGGTTGATCCACTTCCCTATTATTCAGAGAAGACGAGATCATTGCGTTGATGGCGGTGGCGGGGAGGGGCGGTTGTACCGGGGCTCTGAGGCCTATCGGTGTTCACGTTTCACAGCGAATCTTAAGGTTTGTCTTCCACCAATGTTGAATTGGAGCATTTTTTGCCGCGCAGGAGGTAAAGTGGCGCTCCGGGCAGTACGTGCTCAGTTTTGGGGAGAGCTCAGCCTACGGTAAGACTTTTATTACTGTTGTTACTCTATAGGCCAGGGGTGGGCAGACTCCGGCCCTCCAGCTATTGTGGAACTACAAATCCCATGAGGCATTGCAAGACCGACAGCCACAGCCGTGACTCCCAGAGACAGATGCCTCATGGGATTTGTAGTTCCACCGCAGCTGGAGGGCCGCAGTTTGCACACCCCTGGTACAGAACATAAGGAAACGGACAATGATGAGTACAGGTTGAGCCGGCCCGCTCACCAGGCAGTGGAGTGCCCCTTTATGGTAGTGCGTTAGTGTTCCTTATATATATGTCAGCAGGGGCGTCCCGAGGAGCAGATAACGGGTGACACCCCACCGTGATGTCATCGCACATGCAATCCTATAGATATCTGCCGGCGGCCATCTTGGAGAGAGGAGGGGACGTTCACCCGGTGGGATGAGGTATGCCGCCGGGTCCCCTCCTCTCTCCTGATACAGTCGGGCTCTTGGTCCATGACCGAGTGCTTGACTTTTCAGAAGGGGGTGACACCAAAATGACTGCGAGTCATTTTGCTGTCACCCCTCCAATGGTGTCACCTGGGTGCGGGCCTCACTCCCCTTTCCTTGTGACGCCGCTGGTATTCAGTGTCCGTCAGTTCTCTGTCACGTCTGAGGAATATAAACTAGAAGGAGAGTGCGAAATGCGTTGGCCAGACGAGTCATCGCTCTGTGGAATGTGCCACCTCCATAGCGAATGTGAACCTGCGCTCCATTTAAAGATTCATGATAAAAGTCATAAGAACAGAACCCGGAGATGTCCGTCTACCTATTTCACAGGAGGAAAAAAAATCATCCTGTGCTCCTCTCTGATTCAGTTTCACTGTCTCTGTACTGCACCCAATGGCAGCTCATTAAAGCTACACTATATTACCAAAAGTATTGGGACACCCCTCCCCCTCCAAATCATTGGATTCATGGGTTCCGTGACATTTCCCGGCTGCTAAATATTCCGCGGTCACCTGTTACTGGGATTATAACAAAGTGGAAGCAACTGGGAACTACAGCAACTCAGCCAGGAAGTGGTCGGCCACGTCACATGACAGAGCGGGGTCAGCGCATGCTGAAGCGCACAGTGC